TATCTTCAGTCCACGAGCATAAGCCAAATGGATCTTCATCCCCTGTAAACTGTTTGAAGGAGTATATTGATGGTCCTTTACCAACCGAAAGCTCTCGTGCACGCAGATCTCTCAGTGCAGAATCACCTTCAATCTTGACTGCGATATAACCTGTCACTCATTTTACTCACTTTCGTTTGACCACGGATTTTGCACTCTTGAGAAAATCTGCTTTTACGTTTGCTTGCTCTATGCCAACGCCAACTGGGAATGTGTGATGCGCCGATCTGACGCCTGTGCGTCCTTTCTTTGATGAATCACTTCTCTTTTGCGACTGTCACATGGACAGTGGCACCAAGTCCCGTACCGCTTACACCGATTCCTCCACCAGTTGCTTTTGTCAACCGCAACTGTTTAAAAAGCGCAGGCTTTAAACCTTTGACGAACTGTTAAGACGGCAATTTCCGACGCGAAACTCCGCCCAGTCCCAGCGAAACCTTATCCGACGCACGCTGCACGATGGCAAACAACATGGTCGGAAAAATTTCATACTACCTGCACGACTCGTTGGAAGCCTCCGCCCTTGAACGCCTACTAACTCTTGTGATAGAGACCAATTTATAAGTAGGTCACGTTGGCCTAGATTGTGTAATAGTGAATAAATGACGCCCTGTTGATAGATGATACCATACAGTAAAAACGCCGTTCCCTATTTGCCATCATCTTAAGAGCTTTATCATCATAATCGACAGAGAACGGCTACCATGTACACGAATAACTTGGCAAAACGTTCGGAGAAACTGCGTATTTGTGACATCAGTTGATAAAATTTCTTTTAAAGTGTAATTTTGGGTTAACGATTGCTCGCCGTTCCTTGCAAATGCGTCTTTTGCGCAGATGAGTATAAACTGTTCTTGAGTTGCCTGAAATTCCGTGAAAAACCTAGCAAATCAATCTATAAATTAAAATGATTATTAGTTGTAGCGAATTATTCCCAGACACCTGTTTTGCAAAGTTATAGGAGCTTATACGTTCACCTATTAAGTTAAAATATGAATATACTTACACGCTGCTGCTGCCGCTCGAGCGAATGTCTAATCAAAATATTTCCACTTCATAGTTGTCAGCGGTTGCGATGTCAGGTGTGGTAATATCTCCCGTCATATTTTCGGTCATATATTACAATCGGAGATCTTGCGTCATATCATAATCGTTGCCCGGTTTCTTGGGCAGGAACACCCAACCGACAAAGTAATGGGCAGCAAATCCATGCTTCATTAATGGTAATGATTGTGTCTGATGCTGCCTACGGTTGAAATTTTCTTTAGGTTCTTTATTTCAAGATTTTTAATTTCTGGTTTAGTTAAAATTTTTAGTTTATCTTTACTTTTCGTTGGGTTAGAGTGCAAATTTTATCCCTGTGATCCTAAACAAGGCACATACTTTCCGAAATATCTTAATCCGCATTTATGCAACATTTGAAAAAACAAAACCCGAGAATTCTTATTCTTAACATTCTTCGGCGCCAGCTGTAAAGAAGGGGGTCGGTCAAATAATGTGCGCTATTCGAGGTTTTCTATCAGCATGAGTTTTTTTGTGCAAATGAGGTTAGGTCTAGTGTAAGTTCCAAAAAGAGAGTTACACATTTTTTTTCAGAAATTTCCAGACATGAATTCTGTGCGAGCGGTGAACTTAAAGCTGCCTATTCCGAAAACTTAGCGTATAAATAGTATACGCACGCTTGTGGGTTTCCTTGCATAACCCGTAAATGTCGTTCGAGTATTGCTTACAAGTGCACTTTGTGTTAAAAGGTAGGTATTGCGTCACTGTGAAAATGCCCTCAATGATGACACGATCAATTTTCTTCTACGCATTGTCGGTCTCCATAAAAAAATTTTAGATGAAAACCCGGCGTTTCCGTTAAGTATATCCATTTTGACCACAAAATTATCACTAGTAGAAAGAAACCACAAAAGTAGTCCATTGTGATCACAAGGTGCAAGAATATTCTACGTCGCTTGGGGACGTGCTTCGCTCACCCATTAACCAGATGCATTTAGGTATTGCTTTCTGGATACTTGGTTTTGGAGAACCTCAGTTGCCTGATAAGCTCCCTGAATTTGGTGATTTCAAACGCAGCTCAATATTACTCGTCAGTTTCATGTAAATTATTCTGTCAATTTTGTTTCAACATATGACTCATGTATGGAAATATGCCCAGCTTCAACTCAATTTGAAATATATCTTTGCTCTGACAGGAATATGCACTAAGTGGTGACTAAATACACCAACAATAAACGAGTGAAACAGTGTACACAAATTTAAGAAATAATTGTTCAAAAATTTTTGAAAGTGATGCGTATTCGTTTTTTCACTGAATGCGGATTGTTAGTCGTACAAATGGCTAATAATCGGTGAGCGGAATTTTCGTCTGCTAGGCTGGCATTCATTTATAGAATCAAAAAACGTACGGTTGAATTAAGTTTTCATGCCTGATAGCATATTGTGCGCATAGACACCTAAAGTTGAGGAATATCGTGACTGTTGCCCCGTGGGCGGCAATGTTTTATACGAGGTTCCCATTTGACGGGTACGAAACTCACATATAGGCACTGTTGGCGGGTATTTCTCAGAGGATATTTAGTGTCAGCCTATACAGATGAAGTGCAGAAGTGCACTACAAAGTACATTTAGAATGTTAGATTCTTGAAGAGATCCAAGTTTCCTGAATAAATCTGATGGTTTTGGGGTTAAACATTTCAGCCATAAGATAGCCAAAAGCCCTTGAAAAAACCGCACCTGGCACATGGAATTCAATTAGTCAGGTGCGATTATTGACTTTTGTCAACCTGATATTCCGGTTGCGCGAAATGCGATAACTAAACTCACCGTTCATCCGGAATCGGATAAAAGCGGGATAAAAGCAGCCAATCGTTGGATGTAGGCTATTATCATGGTTTGTCTGCCGAATCGGGGCTAGCATTAAACCTTGGTCCAAATTCACGTTACCTTCTGATGCAAGGAATGACCAGAATTGTGTGAATAGGCGAACAACTGCTAGACGCCATGAAATGTACCGCGATATTATAAAATTCGTTCTACGCAAAAATCACCGCGGATCAGACATTCACGTTAGGAGCCTGAAAACTGGAGCAGATCCACATGTCTTTTGTTGGGCGAATGGAGCGGAGCAAATAAGAAAAAAGTGCATTAATTTAAAAGAATAAACCTACCCGACCAGAAGACGCTAGGTTTGGGGCGACTCAGTCGATCAAGATAAACTTTGATGCTACAACTGGATTTGCGCAGTTCTTTTATGCTGAATTCGTTTGCAAAGAAAGGGAATCGTTTTGGTGCATATATTGTTTGCCTGTCTTGTTTTTTTGTAAGACATCGTCAGCCGCAAGACAAAGTGGTACCCCTGTGAAACGATCAAGCGTCGCATTCGTGGCATTCGTTTACACGGAATAAGACGCACAGCTGTAATTTCTTAAGCTTATTTTTCTTCATGCAGCTTCAAAATTCCAACCAAAGGTGACCAATATTTTACCCGCAACCCGACAAACCAGTGAACGTCTTACTGCTTTCTTGAGCGGCACCTCCTTAGTAACCTGAACGTATGAACAATCGACCCACTTAAGTGGTATCTCTCGAGCGATTTAAAACTTCCACTGGTCTGACCATTATCCCCGCTGTTTTGCATTGTCTCCGTCTGCCGTCATAAGTTTATCTTAAACTGCTTACGTTGAATCATATTTCCAGGCACTTGGATAGTAAACTAATAACTATCACACATATACACTACTCATTGTATTTAGACAGTTTTAACAACGTAACAAATGTTCAGCGGCTGGCTAGTGCTTGGAGAAAACGCGTCCTCAATGAGTCAGATGCTACAGATAATGCTTTCAAGCAACGACATGTCCCAGTGAATATTTTACTTTCAAACCTTACAGGAAAGGACGTCTATCCAGATGCTTTTTCTACTGACTAGGTTCACCTATAAATGATATTTTTTTAACAGACAGGCGCTTCAACCATCTTACCAGGATAATTTCATTGATTTTACCTCTGAGTTCAGTGTTTGATATTCCCCATTTAAAAGACCTAAAAGTTGCTTGTGTGTTTGATCTAAAGTTGAAAAATATGTGACCAAATATGCCATGCAGCCTTTCCAGAGTTTGCCAACACAATTGCATACACTAAAGTACCACAACGTACTAATTTATTGCAGTAAAAAAACGTTTTTTTAGGGTTACAAAAATTTTCGACAAACTTCAAAGGCTTTTGTGTTTCCTTAAAAGTTTCCTAAAAAATAACTGTCTGATCTTTGAATTTCCTCACGTTCCCTAGTAGGTCTCAAACCATGTTCATCTTTGACTGACCCCCGAGCACACGAAGGGCTGTCCGGCCAAGTGTGTCATACGGTAGCAACAACGTAAGTGAATACTTTCTTATTCGTCGTCCTCGTCAAAGAGCGTAGAACTTATGTAGTCCTATGTATGTCAAAGCCACAGCAAATGTGTAGATTGTGTGAACTTAACTGACTAGAATTGGAGCCCGTACGAGGGCTTAGAAAGTAAACAGTAAATTGCATCATTTGCTTAATGATGTGACCGTCATTGAATTACCCAATCTTATCTCGTTTTGATGGTCATGTGAGTAGGTGAAATTTCCAAATCAATCCGCTCGAAAATCCACAAATATAACCTTTCCCATGTTTAAAAGTTCGTTCTGAATATCACCCTAACGGCTAGGTTCATCGGAGTGATTAGTTTATCTACCCGACCAGTGGTCACTATTTTCTTAGGAGATGGAGTCCCACAGAATGTACGAGGGTATGTTTTGAGGCGTCAGAGTCTCCTTTGGAATTCAGCCATTCCTCTTCGATCCGGGACGACAACTGCAAAGATGGAAATGCACAACAACTTTCGCTTCTTCAGGGATTTTGTGCACAACAGCTCAAAATGTCCCCCTAATAACGAAAACTAGTAGTGTGTGGTTTATGGAACCTAAATCACCTCTTTGGCGACGCTGGGTGAGAATGTGGCAATTAGTTTATTTATGACTACTGTTCCGATTGAGTCTCGTGATGACCGAGGTTCGCTATAATTGTTGCCTAAAAGATGTGCAAAAATATTTTATGATGAGTAGTCGGTCAGCTCAGTGACATGCACCGGGGACTCCATACATAGCTGAAGTCTGGAAAATGACTTGTACATCTTGAAAAGACATCCAATTTCTCTGAAGGCAATTGTGTCGTCGGTGACTATGCATGTCATTTTCCACAGTGGTCTTCAGCGCAGAACAACACACTTATTGTCTTAACGCGAAGTGAAATTATCGGGTTACAAACACCAGTGACTTTGCTGCAAATTCAACGTGAAATACTTTTCGGCAAGTTAACTGCCACCGCAGTTAACTTGATTACTGCATGAAAGGGAAATTGTGCTGAAGAAAACAGTAGCCACAATGGGAATCTTTCAGTATCAAAACCATCTCCAAATACGGGACGCGTTTTGTTTTACAAAAAACTTACGGCCATCCGGGAGCTTCTGGTTTCCCCTCTGAACTTAGGAAGCACATTGCTTAGGTATAGTTGGATGCGGGTGCAAAGTGGAAGGTTACAAACTAAAGGCATACCATAGATTGATATCTTGTCGGTAAATCTGCGCTCTGAAGGTGAGCGACGGCACTATATTATTGGGCACGCCTATCCATCGACTGATCATTCCTCTGCATTTACAAGCGGCATTTGGTGGTGTAAAGCTTACACAGTTGAGCGGTGATGGTAGTGCCATAATGAATAGTCCCAACTTGAAACCAAGATCAATGAATTTCAAACGTTTCTCTGGGACAGTGATAGCCATTCATGATGATTGACTCAACTAACATTTGGGTGCGTACGCTTTCATTATTTGACGCATATACAGTTGCATGAATATGATATATACAATATATACATTGTACTTTTGTAATGTGGTAAATGAAACACAAGGATTGAGATCCGTGGTCCTGTACCTACAAATATAATGCGTCTCAAATTTCAGCAGCATTTCTGTAGAAACGGCTACGTCTCTCGCAAGTGTGTCGTTAAAATCATGATATCATAATACAGTATGACGCAACAAACTTCGTGGAGTTCATTCAATGCAGTGCGGTAGACCAAATACTCCATGACCCTCAAGTTATACCAACTCAATGACTGATCAATAGACGTTTTGTCTTAACTATGAAGCTACCTGCATTACGCATAACATGGGCCCCACACATCTTGTTTGCATTCCTCGGCCTGCATATATCAACGGTAGGCCATAAAATGCTCCTCCAGGCGTTTGGTTACCACCCGCTGAAGAGGGCGAAATATCCCTGGAAAGGTCGCGAATGGCAGTATGTAACACAAGTTGGGACGACACCAAATGTAAGCTTGAAAATTTGCTCCAAATGATCGGATTTGTTACTAGCCACTCGATGAAGCATAACCAAATAACGCATTTGCTGTGAATGAACACTGAGTATCAAAGTGTTGGTAACGGTTAGGATCTCTGTATCCTCAGAAACAGTCTGCAATCAGTGAATACCTTGAGCTTGTCACAACAACCGTGTCATACACAACAACCATGTCATAAGGCCTCCTGGTTTAGCTAATCTGGTTGTCACCACCACAAATGGCGTAAATTAAAAAAATGCTCTTCCTAGCTTTGTTGCCTCGCAAGTGATTTCATTCTTTCAATTATGCGTTTGGATTATATAATTGGTATAAAGAAACAAAAAATAAAAACGCGCAATTATATTTTCATGTTATTTCACTGATGGATGAAGCATTACGCTAAGAAAAGAAACTTCTACGGTTTGAGGTCACGATAATACTAGGCCGCTGTGGAAAATCTGCTCTGAAAATTGTGTTTGTCTGTTCTGCCAACGACAATAAAATAACTTTCGAGCAATTGAAATTCATAACATGCATCAATGAATTATTCCAAATTCAGAATATTACTGTGGCGCATTTAATGGAAGACTTCCCGAGCAATATCTTATTACTAGCAGGGTACTTTTCGTTAGTTCATTTTAAGCCTTTGTCGTGATCGAACGTACAAAAATACTTGGTGTGACAAGCGCTTGAGGACTTGTGGTGCATCCTTTCCTCTCCAACCATAATTAGAATAATTACTGAAAATGACCTGCCCAAATTTCCCCACAGGCATGTTGCATTTAGGCCTTGACTAAAGAGTTTTCAAAATTCAGATTGCCTATGATAAAGACGGCTGGATGTATCGTCTAAAATGAACAGAAACCGTGTTGGACGAAGAATAATATTTGGTATCTTGGGAATGGCATTACACAATCGCAAGCCTGCGGCGAATATCAGAGAAAATTTAATTCATATTTTTTGTTTTTGGTTAACTTGTCAATGGGTTCCGGTGTCCATCAAAGAACAATAGATTATTCTGATGAATAGCAACTTTCCTGGGTTTAAATATTTGAGATTTATTCTGATCAGGTGATTCTAATGTTGTAGCTGCAGTGGAATATTCCATATCACCAATGGAATAAAAATATCTCTGAATCGCACAGTGACGGAGGATAGTTCATCGGACTATTATAATTAATTTAATTGTGTATAACTTACAAGAAAATATAATGAGTAATTTTTGGCGTAATTTGTTTCGAAATCAGTTGAACATGTTGGAGGTAAGGTAAATAACAACTGCACAGGTAAGCCCACACAAGCAACCAATCTGAGGTAAAAAGAAGGAATTCTAGTGATTGTGTTTCCTGACATCACAAGCGCTGGTTGTCTTATACCTATCAACGATTCGCTGAAAATCCTACCAATAATATAAAAAATTTATGCAAACACCTGATTTANAGGTCAATTTACTCCCGGCCTTCGCCAAAAATGATTTTTAGATACTCAACCGCTAAAACTCACGTCTTTCTAAAACGCTCGCTAATCTAGCATGACTACTATTTATGTGCTGTTCGCGCGCCCGAGCAGATTCTTATTGGCACCTAAAAGGTGTTTGATACACATTCTCACCAAGTAATGGTGGAAAAAAATCTATATAGACTGATGAAACGCCGCAAAATAATTTTAGATTAAATTCATTGGCATCCAGGAACTTCTGAATTTTTAGGCAGCGCAGCCAGAAATGTGTGCGTCAGCGCCCTAGAAGCAGTAATCACGAAGCACCAGGAATACGAACTGTAGTTATCACCAAGGTAGTTCACTAATACTCAAGTCGTCCTGGGTGTCTTTTTGTCCGCTGCTTTTTGAGCATGGAAATCTAAACAATGTGGACAGTTCCAATAGGTTTCATTGTGTACTCTTGTCAAAGAGATGACGAGAGCCAACTGTTGCGTCCTAGGATCGAACTCACAATTTATTGTATTTTCAAGTTTGACATGATAAAACCCGCAACATCAAAACGGGAAAGCTTGGTGATCGCTCCTAAAGTGGCAACTCGTTAGTAGCTTCTGTTATCAACTAACCGCTGCGAATTATAGGTGATTTTTGATTTCAAAAATTGTAACCTAATTATAAACATTAGTGGTTTGTAAATACAGCAGCCATTCAGCCCCTGCGTTTTTTCATTTAGGACGCACCTTTAGATGTCAGATTTATGAACAAGTTTTGTTGCTGGCGCTCCTAGTAGGACAAGGCGTTCCCCCTGTAATCAACTTTCAGCTGTGAAAGGATGCTGAAAGAGAGGCGCTCGGCTTTTAACTTCGGCATCTCTCCGATTGCTTCGACACGCTTATCACAACTCCACAGTGATGCGAAAACCGGAACTAAACTTTATTGATTACAAACGAAGGTGGTTTATGACCGCTCAGCCTTTCAAGACTTTAGGTTTTCCACATAAACGAACGTCTTGCCGCTGGCTAATTCAACGTATTATCGCGCAAAGCTGTGGGCATTCGTTCAATAATTGAAATAATGCCCTAGCTGGGCGATACGGGAATACATGGCGGCGCAACACTGAGCGTCTGTTGAGTGGTAATTCCGATGTGTTCACAGTCAGCATAGCATCAAAGAAAGCTGAGCGATGCTGGAATTTTACTCCTTAGCAAGAGAAATTAGGCGAAGCGATCAATTCAGCCAAAGTTTCGATTGTCGGTACGACAGTTATCACGATTTTCTCGTTCAAAATACCCGCTTCCCTGGACTTCTTATTCTGATAGCCAAGCGGAGTATTTACAGTGGCACTAAAGACCACTATCCATATTAGAATGCCGTAGAAAGGATTTCAACAGTTTCAGCAGCCCCAGTTGGTGATACCTGAATGTACGTCCTGAAAGTTGCGTCAGTTCACCTGATAAATTAAAACAATTCCCGGGTCGTCCATCGAGGCTACTTATAAAGAAACACATTTCTGAAGCGTGGACATGCTTTCCCATTTAGATAAGATGAAATCAGGTATGTTCAGTGGAGCGAGGGAGTACTACTGATAATTTATGCTCTAAAGTTATATCTCTCAATTGTAGATTCTGGCGCTGAGCTTTAGTTCCCATGAGGTTAAATCGTGATTCCAGCCACAGTAGGAGTAGGCCCACCAGAAAAAACCGCACCAGCGTAGAAAACTCACTCTTCAAACGGGTCTGAGTTAAACATGGACTATATTCTCAGCGCGCAATTTGTGATTGTCAGCATCTAACTGGAGTACAGAATGGGCAGTTTGATTCATGCTTGCTGATTTGATGCCGAATGCAACATTTCTGTGATCCGTTGGCATTTCAGACGACTTGGTTCCTGGGGACATTGTCTGCTCCGGCTGACAATCGCACTGCTTGTTTGCCTCTCGCATAAAAACTCGGGAAAGTCAAGGTTTTATCGCACTGCTAATGACTGCAAGTATTGATGGAATATTGGTAGCGTTCTCCTTGGCTTTGCATCAGATTTTGGTTTCACAGAAGGAAAATACTGAGGATTACTGAATATCCTCAGAATACGACACTCACTATTTTCGAGTCTGATATTAAACACGTTTGACTTAGATGACTGTGTCGCTGCTATGGCATTCTGAGCTCCGTTTTCTAGACAGTTTCTCAAATTTAAAGTAATGATATACAGTGATAATGGGTTTAGCCTTGTTTCCAGAATCTCACATTGCCGAAATTTTTGCGACTTTTTAGCCATTAGTTGGATGCTACCAACGTCGTGTTTGCCCGATTTGCTTTCTGTCATTCAACATGATGTTTGTTTATCGCGTCTTCATATTGTGCGTGTCATACAAGCAAATCTTTACTAACTCACCCTATAATTAATGGCGCTTGCTCTCGCACGTTTGTATTGTGAATTCGTAACTTTACACAAGGAAAACGCAGGAACTTATCCATTGGGGTCTTCATTATTAGCGTCAGTTCCCAGTGCATTCTCAACCATAAATTTAAGGAGAAACAGAACGCTTATTGTCACTACTACTAATATTACATTCTGTGCCACTACTATCACATTTGTATAATTACACGACTCGCTCCAATCACCGAATACTTCCGGAGATACTGAACCACAACCAATATCAGTTGCCTCCAAATTACTTCAAAAAACGGCTTATGAGGAAAATGAATTAGACCTGTATTATTTATTTATTTATTCATTTTTGTGTGCGGTATGTTCACTGCAAGTATATTTTTATGTGCGTACGAACCACTAAAATACACCCAGCGTAGACTTTGGAAAATGCTGCCTCAGTATACCACCCTGGAAATTCTCTCCCAATTTTTTTCACTAAGTTCCTGGTAATCGCGTCGCAATATCAACCCAGAGCAAGGGAGCTCGTAGAACCGGGTTTCTTCAACCTATACAGTTTTGAAAACCTCGACCTTTGTCACGTTTACGGAGGACGCTATTATCCAGTTATATTCGTTGACACTAAACCGTTCATTTATGAATCACGTTGCAACTGATATACAGTAACTAACGTGCTAGTAAATACTGCCGAGGGGTATTTCCAAGTGAGTTACAACTTCTTTTTTTGAAATGGAAATCTGTAACAAAAAGCAGTTTGTTGGTGATATTAGCTGTTTAGAGGAGGGTTTGGCACCTAGTTGCTACCCAAACCCACCGACAACTTCGAATATGGATTTTAAAATCGGACGTTGGGTGGTGCTCTCATCTGGGTCGCCGTGTTTGCTGCACGCAGCAGAGCTGGTTAGGAAAGAGAGTCCACTTTAAAGCAGTGCTTTCTCATCCTTTTCATATTCATTGCTTCTGCAGTCACGCCATTCTTCAACACATAACGGTGCATATATTGCCGAAAGCTTCCACACGTGAGTCTTAGAAAGACCATCTCAAGAACAGACGGCCTGATGCGCGTAGCCGTGTGTGCATGACTTTTATTCTGCTGCTATGTGGAATAGGCAGGCGGAAGCCTGATACTGGTGAAAGGCACCAAGTTACTACTGAAGAATCCTATTATCGCTGGCTTCAGTAATTCATTTGCATAACATAGTTGGCGACATCCATTCGGTCAGCCGGTTTTCCGGTTAAAATGTGTTCCCCAGGCGGTAAAATTGAATTTCAGCATCTGGAGACATAAGCAGCTAACTTTTCACACATACACACAAAAACTCACATAGCTACTGATCTTGACAAAATCGTTTTCATTCTATCCAAAAGTAGGCAAAATCAGCAGCCTTTGCTATCCGGATGATGTGAGTAGTCAAAACCAAAATTGGTGTTTTTGACAAATGTTGTTGTTCTTGTTGTTCTTGTTGTTCTCAATGTGCACTCTACATTACTGTTTTATGAATGCCAGTGCTGAAAGGGCCCAAGATTGACAAACGTTTAGGAGAGTAGTAAGTTTGAACCTGATATGCGTAACATCCAAACTCCAAGAGTAACAGAATGTGCATGCGTGGCTTACTGTCATAAAGTCTACTGGCCCCAGTTTCGCGGTTGATTCTGTCAATCAGTTTACTTCAGAAAAATTTTAACAAATCTTCTGTGTGGCATAAGGTGATTAGAGTAAAAGGTATGTCTATTACACCAGAATGAAAGACGTTCTGTTGCACCATGACCAAAAGTCACGAGTGAAATATGGTAATCTTTCAAAAATTTGTGAACCGATACTTCGAAGCAAATTCAGATTTTGCGGAGATTGCACGTAACCGAACGAAGTACATGTCAGAAATAAATGTCACATTTACTGTGGAGATGTTAATGAAGCAAAAGTCAAGTTCGAATCCAGTACAAAAACCTGGTCCTCCTTGTATGTCAGAGTATTCGGGGCATTGTTGAGCTAGATATACATCACACTGCTGATCGCGCGAGCGCTCAAGCAACACAGTCTTTCAACCTCCATGCCAGGATATTCCACCCACCTTCAGAGTTCGTCATTCTGAAAACGAAATCCACCTTAACGTAGGGGTTTCCTCTCTTTTCCATCATTGAATTTCTTGATACGTATAACTCCTCGGAGGCAGCCGTGCACGCTCGAGTTACTCGTGCACGATCTGAGAGCGCACAAAATCAATTATGGGCTCCCGGTTAGGCGCCGTNTCAATTATGGACGCCCGGTTAGCCGCCGTTTGTATTAAACTTTCGGGTCTAAAGTCAAACCACCTAATATCCTCACTACACACTAAATTCGGATAATTAATTTCATATCACCAGGCTATCCTCCAAATAAATGCCCAGGTATTTAAGAGAGGTTGGTCTTGTTTCTTCTTATCTTTTCTGAAGGTTCCATCTTCCGCCCTTTTCATATATTTGCCTCCATATTGCTTGGTGTAGCACTCCTCTTCAGTATTTTCAAATATGGCATCCACTTTGTGCCTTGTTTGCAGCCAAGACCCTGAAAATACTCGTGCTTCACATCGAAAGCTTGATGTACCACTTCAGCCTATTAAGGTGATACACACTGATTGTATATCAGCCCCGTTTGAGCTTGGCTAAGCAACTGTACGAATCGAGAGCAGATATGAAGTGAGCACAAGCAAATGACAATATTGGACACCCATGTGGTCTACGTTTTCACGGTAGGCAATACGACGTATGTACGACAACGTTTTTTAACCAGATCCCAACCCATGTTTCAACCTGAGGTGGCATTTTTCTTTGGTGACTTACTAGACTCCAGTCATTTCATCAACTCAAGAAGCGGGGGATACGACTTTTCCGGAGACATTTATATTGAAGTATTTTTGTTTCTTCCCGTAAACTATCGTAGTTCCCTGCATTTTCTGGTTGTACCGGGATTTTGAAAGAATTATTATGGTATGAAAGAATAAATAACCTGTGACCCATTTGCTGAAACCACCTATTACGCAGCAGCACTGACTGAAGAACAATCCCGTTTGAGAACGCTTGTTTTGAGAATAACAGAAAAATTAAGGCTAGGTGGCAGGTAGATGTTTTTAAACATCATAAGCTGAAAAATGAAACAAGTTTGTCCGTAAGTGTTCCGCTACAGCTAAAGGCAATTTTCTGTGACAAAAATTTTGAGTGAAAGCAAAAATTCAAACAACTTTGGTCGACTGAAGCAACGCTCAAAATAATGTTTTTGGCACTGTTCAAAAGGCGCTTCATTATTGCCCTCGCAATTAAAAGTCCTCTCATTCAGTGAACAGCGAGCCGGACGTTGCTACGCTTTTTGAGCGCAGATGAATCCTTTTCTGGTGACGACGAAGTGTGTCTAGTCTTGAAAAACGTGTCCCACATAAAGCACAGTGAAATGGGTTCTGCCTTGAATGCACCCGCATATGTTTCCCGAAAGCGGTTCGGCCCACAGAACGTTTGCCACAAACGCGACACGAATGTGGTTGCTTCTTGTGGACTATTCCCTCAACGTGATGGACTGTAGCCTTATGTTGCTTGACGCTGAGACCATGCTTAAATTGCCTTCCGCCGCAATTACATGAATACTTCCTTCCATTCGAACGGAAACGTGGGCGTCCTTTAGATCTGTGTTCTATCACAGAGGGTTTGTCAGACCACCCTCATCTGTGTGGAAAGTCAATCTGGCACTCTTTACAGATTCTTTCTGTCCGATTGATTACAGGCGTGCCCAAAGCCCGGCCAAATGTTTTGATTCTTTGTTTTCACCAACGTGGACAACAACTTTGGAAGTTGTGGAGTTTATTTGCTGAAAACCGTTCTCCCGCGTTACTTCGGAGATATCCAAAAGAGACTGGTGCTCTGTCCGTGAAAGAGGGTGATAAATTAATTTACCAACATCCATGTCCAGGGTAAATCTATAAAACAAATTAGTTATTTTAGTGAGTAACCAACTGAACCTTCAAGTGGATTGTGAGACTTCATTGGTGATCTTTGTACTACCAAAGCCCTCCAAAATGTATCCTGCAAACACACTACAGAAAAACGGGGGCATCAGCTGTGGAACTTGTTGTCTAATACAATGATCACGTTGCACAAAGTTAATAAGATATCCTTATAATTAAATTTTAGCTAACCAAACCGTTACCCTCAGTACAATTTGCGTTCACAGCCTCTGATGGTATCAGTATCGAGTCTGAAGATATTACGAGTGCTGTGCAATTAAGTAGCAGTTCATCGTATAGTCCATACCCCCTGTGGTTGAATCGGGTGAAAAATAGTCTCAACACTACAAGAGTGGATAAGTTCACTAAAAGAAACATAGACTTATGTGGTTGCGTACTAGCGTATTTTCATAACACGCATAAAATTGATAATTACTGGATAAAACTAACAGTTGAATGGTAATTTTGCTTATGAACTGTCCCCCATACATTCACCGAAATATCGCTAAAGCGAAAAGTCTGTCGCTGCTTAAATTCTATTCTCTAGTCTAACATCGCATATTACTTAGAGCACATGGCATGCGTTTTTGGTTTGTTCGGAGCAAACCAAAACGACATTTCTAAAATAATGATATGCACCTTCTTCAGCAGAATACCAAGTTTATTCCCGGGACCAAAAGTTAGAGTGCATGCTGCCTAGGTCAGCAAAGAAGACTGCGGAACGAAACATCATTGGACTATCGTACTCACAAACATAGGAAAAATTTGTAAATTAGTCTCAGACGCTTCATCAGTGACAACATATGTATCGCGTCTGAAAAAGTATTCTCTAGATAATCTCAACAAGCGGTATCCAGTAGACCCAGAACACGGGCTTTATCCACGTTTCCAGAGTTGTGAATAAAAACTCAAACTGCAGGATCATTACTTCTGTCATCAAATTCTTTGTTGATTTTATCCATTTTAATATTCAAGTCACAATGCTTCGCAAGCATTAAGGTAGAATATTATTTATACTCCTTTATACTCCGACATACAAAACACCTCGGTGACAAAGAAGCGAGCTACACCAAGTCCCGTTTTCAAACACGATTCGAATGTTTGGGATATGTAGCGTAACCTAAAAACAGGGAGGGAAGATTCTGATGGATAAAGAAGAGCAGACTTTTGCACGCAAATTCAAATCAGAAGGTGTCTGCCGCTACTATATACATCATTCCACAGATTTACCACATCTATCCCATGAACGTCACGCAATATCTTCACATTCGTTTCGATTGCTTCACCGCCTAATGTGATATTGTCTCCGGATTAATTGTACCTATGCATGGATGCTTTGGTTGACTGTTAAAAGAGCAATGAAATATACATATAACTAACTTTACCTGAGCAGACGTAAAATTTGATAACGATTTGAGCACTTACGTGCACCAACAATAGAAAAATTTGTACTCTGCCTGAAATATTTTAGTCCTCAGAAAAATAGTATGCCAGAAGTTCTAATATATATTTTTTCAATATAAAAGATACACAATCTGTGCTTTCTGCAAGACCTGAAATAAAATGCGAGACAAGGAAACCATAACTGACTCCGTAGATATCTGACAGGTAGGCGTTAAATGAATATGTTGTTTTAAAAACTCAATATTTGGATGCCTTCTGAAACGAAGATAATTTCTTGACAGATTTTGCTTACCTTTTAACAGAACAGTAACTCAAATTATTTTTCTGCCGTAATTGAACAAACCTAACAGGCCTGCATTCATTTCTGCATCTGGAAGTTAACTTGAACACCGTTTATGAAAAACAACTAATATCGTGCGGGAAATTAAACATGCCGCAAACGCATGAAGGAATGCAAATCTTAGCTCATACGAATCAGGAGAGTCCAATTTCGAAATTCTAGTCCTTTCCGGGCAAAAAGGATGCTTCAGCGTGAATGATTTTCTTATTTACCGATGATGACCGTATAACTGGTCCGATTTAATAGTGTTCGTTCATCCTAAGGGCATTTGTCAAATGAACATACATTGAAAACCACAAAAGCGTTCCTAAGTCTTCATGGTATGAAATGTTTCTTCACTCATGACATGCACAGGCATGTAAGCCCTCATATAATTTTCATTTGGGAGGCTTAGCAAAATTCAAGGACAGAATGTTTAAGCAAACAAGTGAACACTTGACTTTCGCAAAGCGTATAGTGGGCCATGACGATAGAAAAGCTGCGCTCATTACATATATATATATATATATATATATGCGCATGTACGTATTCTGGAAATTGAATCAATCTTACTCCCTGAACTACCCGTCTAGGTCGAACGACATGAAGAATGCATCGACATCACTTCTATGATTGAAGAGAAAACGGTTGAGAGTTTTTCAGCACGGACGACACACTTACACAGCTACCACGCATGCTGGTTTGCCTACACCAGACCGAAGGTCTCCTAAGGAGATTTTGTGCCTTTATTTCAAGACCCATTTAAGGCAGCGTTTTTCGTACTGATGATTTCTAAGTGAAGTTTGCAGAAAACCCATATTTTGTAAAGGCAATGAAAACGTGCGTAATTCATGCGACTGCTCAGCAAGTAAAAAATCCACGAGACGTTTTGTTGTTCGACGCATGTCCTAAAATCTGGAAGATCATCGTTTTCCTTGAAAATAAATGAAAAGTCGTCTAAACCAACTCAGAAAGCAACATAAAGCAAACGATATTTGTGTGCATATGAATTACATATTCCGCGCACTTACTGAAAAGGCTATGCCATCACATGCTTGCAAGCAGCCCTGTGTGCAAATGAAGCCAGAGCAGTAACCAAATGGCTGAGCTACTGCTTGTTTGTCTTTTTTCCTGTAATGTGCACTTAACTGGCGCACAAGATTATTTGTGCGAATCTTGACAACAATTTAAGCCAATATTTTTCAATGCAATGTTTGAATAGCCTCCCATCTCACATAGGTCTCCCTTTCTTATCTTGAAAAGTTTTGGCAACATAATCATTTTGCGTGCAGTTTCACAATGCGCATTACCTGAATTATTTAGCATTACTCAAAAGTTTACTGTTACCCACTGCATTTGCTGTATATATATATATATAATTGATATTTGGATACTTAACGATACACATGACCAAATACTAAAGGCGCTTTGTGCAACGCTAACATTTTCATGTTCACATCGGGAGATTTGTAAGCAATTTTGGGGGTGATTTTTTAAACTTTGGGTTACCAGTTTGCCCGACCATTTAGTTTTGGACTCTTAGTTACCAGTGGTGCGCTTTCCACTTGCATACGGATGTGTCTCAGTATCAGTGCATTCAATTGTGTTGACGGAAAGCTCTCCCGCTGACTAACTCCACGCAGGATTGTTTCTTGTGGCTCGACCAGTCACCTGATGGGTTTCTGAACTGCCTGAAATACCTCAACTAGATATTCAGGTGCCAGACATTTCATTTTTTGCGTGGAGGCTCCAAACGTACACGGAGCTCGTGCCTATACAAACCACACGAATGCTGCCTAGGATGTTTGATATCCGCGAGGCGCCAGAGCACCCAATCACATAATATGACATTGCTAAACCGAAAGATTATTTACTTAAATGCTAAGGAACTCAGATCCTTCACACAGTGTTCAGCTGAATTCAGTATTTTTCCAATGATAAATCCTGCAAACTGTGAGTGTATTTTATTCACAGCTCCGAGACACTCCATATCCATTTGTAGACGATCCGTGCAGGTCACTGTAATGAGCTGACTCCAGTTTCAGCTATTCCAGTCCTCGCCGTTACGAATGAACTAGAGCCCCCACGCTGGAGCACGTTCGGTTATGAGGTTTCACCAATCGAAACGGCCGAATACATTAACATTTCTTTCGGAGATAGGGCGATGCGATATATCGTGGTCCGTATACATTTGCTTAATTTAACCAATATGACAAAAATTTGCGGCTCAACCGCTGCTGTGGAGGCATTCCTTATATCAACCCAGTGCCTATATCCGCATATAAGATACTCTGCTCAATTTGCAGGTTTTGTACTTTACCATCAATATTCAATATAAAATAACGACAAAGCGATTGAAGACATCACGATACTTCCCCAGATCACCATGACAGATGTAGAAATTCGCAAGCGATAGTCCGTGAAATGCAATAACTAGCTGTAAGAAAAGTTCGATTTTTCAGTAGTGAATATGTGTCGCGTTCATTATAAAGGCAACTGAGAGGGCAAGCATATCACTGTTCCTTTAGTTCGTTGTTAGAAAACATCCTGGTTGCATGCGGTAGGCATATTCAAACGAAAAAGCCCCGTAGAAAATTCATACACAATATCATAAAAGGGTTAAATATTCTCCATGCCGGACGTATATATCCTTATTACATTCTGTGGTCAAAACGGCGGTCATTGAGTCATTTAGATAAAAGTTAATCTGGACTCTAAATTATTTATTTGTCAGCGAAAATATGCATATTGCGTAAAAAAGACAATCACAAAATTTGGTTACTCTTTGGGAGGTGCACTTCATTGAGACAGCCGACTTTCAGTCCACACAGACTCCAACTGACATCACTCACCGAATGGCAGATGAAGCGAGCAGAAGGGACCACGATATTTCAGTTTTAAACGGGAAGGACTACTATGGGTACGAGGCATCAATGGACGCATTAATAGCTCACTTAATGCCCCTGTCATCGGAATGTGAATGTCGCCTGGTTGATCACTAATAGAAGCATATAAGGATTCCGTATTTGGTTGCGGTCCTGCTTCCAACGGACATTTCCTCTAAACGTGTGTTGGTGCAGACGAGAGACACTAGCAAGTACCGCACACCAAACCAAATAAATCGATAATAAAAACTGAGAAAATATGATGGGCAATTTTTCAATGTTAAACCTGTCGAAAAACCCAATGTCTAAAGGATAATGGCTACCAGCACGTTGCCAATGCAGATTCTGTAGATGACTCATCCGGTTGTCTTCATCATACATGTAATAGGAGCATTCGCTAAGTACGGTTACACAATTTCGTTCAGCAAGCACAGTTTTAGCATTTTACAGTCATATGGCTTTCAAGAGGGTTGAAAAAGTTAACCATAAATGTCCATCTACCCAAGAGCTCGACGAGTGGCCTATATTAGTCGGATTATTCTGGAATTTTTGAGTGCATCTGATGACCGTGGCGTAGCACTACATCCTTCAGGAAAATACTTCCGAAGCCCGATTAGGTTTATACAATCGCGACCGATTATCCTGTCTCATATAATTTGACCGTGGAAATGAGGAAGACTGGAATTATTCGGTTGAAACCCCACGCACATACGAATGCTCGCACACGTTAACTCAATGTGAGTCCATTTTTAGGTAAAATGTATTCATTCAGTAGTCTTAAAACAGCGGCTGAAAACAGGTTGCTCTTCCGGCCATACTACATGGACACAGGAGATTAAACAACTGAGGAATCCATGATTCGCAAACCACAATACAACTCTGGTAGACACGGATCAAACCTGCGCCTAATCTGTAACAAGAAGACCGTTCGTAAGATTATGAAGTATTCATCAAATTCATAACATACCATTTATGCCACATAATATGTATATATAATATATTATGTATAATGGAAATCTCGGGTTCACACAAATAAGCTGTGATCCCAAATCCTGAATGTACGGCCAAACAAAACTATCTGCATCCCGGTGATCATGATTATCAACGCAATTTTTGGGACAAAACAAAAAACACGAATTTTCGACCCGAAAGCTCTCTGAAATTCCCAGGTAAACTGATAGGAGGGTCATCAGAATCCTGGAAGGAGTGGACTGCGATCGAGGAAGCTAGGCAGTCGACAGCAAGAACCGTCTGTCGTTACTTACCGCCGGGGGAACGTCCATACAATACAAGATGGTCGGGGATCAAAAACGTTAAATGGGACGCAGATTTGCAAGATACACCCAAAGAACAATCGAGCCGCTGCAGAAGCCGACCTGACGGACGTAAGTGAAAATCGATAGCACGCGAACAATTTTTGAGGGGTGAGGTCGTGAAACAGTGATACTACTGCCAGAGAAGCACGCTAGAATATGTTGTTCGTGGAATTCTGCTTCGCGTCTGTTGAAAAGAGATCTGTTGTGGAACTTATGGAGTTGCTTTGTCACATTTGCTTGGATTCGAGCGAGGAATGGTTGGCGTCAATGCCTATTTAAGAAAGTTCAAGAGGACGCGTTCAGTGTAGTCAGGCGCTGAGCGACTGGTGAGGGGTTTGGGAATACACACAGGTATCAGCAAATATTCCTTGAGTTGAATAAATTGATTTGTCCTCTCAAGGGTCCCAAAAAAGGTTCTATAGTATTAAATTTGCATTTTAAATCAAGGTTCCACTTAGATCTCTGTTTGCAGTTAAAACCTATGGACATTTAATAGTCTTTTTTGTTTTGACCGGGATATCATAATAGTCCATTGCCTTGCCAGCTGTGCAAACAGCATTCTCCTTGATATAGCAGGATCACGATTCCTTGATATAGAAGGATCACGATTTCCCATCATCATTGTAAAGCATTACTCAACAAAACTCTTCTCAAATCCCTGTTATATTATATATATATATATATTTGTGGTTTACTGAGATTTAGGCTCCCAAGTGGGTTTGTGGTATACTTTTTGGAAAGCTGTTATCTCGGAAAGGCCAACAGGGGCAGCACATAATGTATGATAATTGTGCTCGCAGAGAATAAAGAGACTTGTTTTGCCGGATGCAATGTCTGCAAATTTGAAGAAAGCGCTCGCGAATCCCCAGATCTCGGCTTCGTATAACTGTATTATGTTGCCTACCTATAAGCGCAATCAACTTCTTTGATTCTTTGGTGAATCCTTCGAAATGAATCCTTTGGTAGGATGTAATTCAGATGCTAGAGTACACTGATGCCCCCAGTAAGATGCATCTTTGCTTGTTTCTAGACTATATACATCCCAGCTCACCTAAACATGTTGAAAACTGGCCTTTGAGATATATAAGCTTTTCCATGCCATATCTGTGCTAACTTCCGCGAAAAGCGGTGGCAGCAACCTGTCGTCGACATTCCGTATGACAATACTCTTTTTCCCAACTGGAAACTGTGTGCAGTATGCTCACAAGTGACTAACATGGACTCCTACGTACATCTCTGGAGATGAAATTGAACAGGTGAGTGCAGACAGATTTGAGCCTCGGCTGAAGAACGTTTGTGGTTACAACAAGCTGAATATTGCATTGCTGTGGACTTCGTGCTTCAAAATATGGGCCATCTACGGGCAACTGCAAGTGGATGCATGAAAACTTAACACATTTCTCGGAGAAGTGAGTTCAGGAGTGAAATCCTCGAGGAATGTACCAAAAGATTATATCTGCGAGGGCTTCCTTAACTGCATCCCAGCCTTCAGTAGAGTTTGGATTGTTTTCATACGCATCCATATGTGGATCTCCGATCAATATTCAAATGCTGTTCATTTGCTGAGCCGAATAGTCTCTGATTTGTGCATTTCCCTTTCACCACGTGCGATCCCCGATGATGTTGAATTTCGAAGTATGGATTTTTGATGGTTAGCGCGCATACGCCTTGCGAAACCGTCGTCAATACATCGAAGGTTCTAACACTGCGATTCAGTTTACCCTGCGACATCCTCGAGGAATATTTTGCACTATTAAATTTAGAGGTGATTGTAAGCTCTCAAGCTTCAAATCAGATAGGTACCCGTTTCATTTGGAAAATATGCCCATCTTGTTGCAGATTGACTTTATCCCAAATCAGGTTTGTTGCAGAGAGACCTTATCCCAAATCAGGTTGGCCTACTCAGCTTAGAGAAGTGAAACGGCCGCCATATTTGCAGGCCAGTTTAATGGCGTGTTTTGGATGCCAACTGAGCTAACAACGTCCAAGTAACAACAATCGCCAGCATTTGGTTTGTACGGGGGAGCTAATTCGTGCAACACTCTGAAGACGTCGTTTAAAACCTGTGGTCAAAACTCTGGCATGTTGGCGTAAGGGCTCGCCGGCCAACATATGTTAGACACTGTGTTGTGCACCAATCGATTTGAGTATCTTGCAGTTTGCGTGAAACCATTTAAAAGTTCATTAGAAGCTTCGGAATGACAATCAGTTTGTCGGTTAAGCATGACACATGGGATGTAGTTGTACGACGGAACAGCCTCTGCGTCCAAGATTGCCTTCATAGACATCCATATGTAGATTTCCGATAAACATTCAACTGCCGTTCAGTTTCTGAGCAAAAAACATCCCGATGTGTGCATTTAGACTTGTCTAAGTGCGATCCGCGGAAAGCTTGAATTTCGAGAGATGCTTTATTTGATGGTAAGCCCGTAGAACCCACGCGGAACCGTCGATAACACGCCACAGGCTCTATCCTTCCGAAATGATTTACCTTGCGTCATCTTCGGATTATAATAATCACTATTAGGCTCAGATATGCCTATAAAGTCACCAGCGCCCAGACGAGTAGTTACCCTCGTCAACCGAGAGCGACCCCACAGCGTTGAGTAAGCTTTCATTAGATAAAGAAGGTAGCCGAACATATTCTCCGTTTAGCTGTCTGTAGTACGTAGATCGTCGTCCGTTTTATTTGGATACTAAGGTCGATGTTGATCCCGGATGACTTCATCTCAAACAATCTTGGTATGCTCAACTTGATAAATTAAAACAGACCTCCTACTTACGGACCCGTTAAATGCTGTGAATTGGTCGCCACCTGAGCTACCAACGTTCGCTCAATCTCCAACATTTTGTTTTGTACGCGGGAGCTATTTTACAGCCGAATTGAGAATCACATACCTTTTGGTGCACCTCCACCGAGTCAAAGTAAGACCACCGCAAAAGACGCAAAATACTTAACATCCAAGGTAGCGTTTCAAGGAATTGTACTAATATTCACTATTAGTAATGAGACACATATGTCCCACCTCAAAAATAGCAGAAGCCATAATACTGAAGGTAGCGCTTGAAAAGAATATATTCGTGTACTCTTTTAATAAGGATTTGGCTACTTTCACCGGAAGTGTAGAAAAGCATGCATTCGTGGAACGGCTTGCTCGTGGGGGCCAGGCAAATTACAATATACCAATTAAGGCTCCCTAAAAAATAAATATATTTTCTAAAATAGAAGAAGGACAAAACACAGGAGAAAAGAGATGTTGATTTTCTGTCAATCGAAATAGAAACTCAGAGCATTCTGCATGAGGTAGCTTTGAACGGAATTGTGAACTGGTTGTGGACCCTGGGCGAGATTAAAGAGACAGGCTTTGAAATCTCGAAGGAGTATACGGAGATTCCTGAATCTGTGTTTTATCGCACTTCCTGTGCGGATTTTGACTCTCTCTCAGGTCAACAGGGGATACACCGTGTTCCACACAAGCCACCTGGTGGAGCGCGGAAATTTTATTGTATATATCAGTGGATGAGTTAGAAAGAGCGTGGTACGTTTATTCCTATCAGTTGTAGTATGCAAGTAAATTCGGTTGGCTGCTTTAGACCACTTGTGGTGGTGTTTTCATTCCACGAGGTAAAGTCATTGCAGACCGGTCTGTGGTACATGATCAGCGGGATCAACCTTCAGGATTGAACGCATGATCAACTAAAAACATTAGTGACCTCAAATAGACATCTGTTCCACAAATGTGAAACCAGTACTTGCATAGACTATGTCAGTCAGCTAAATGTTCACATTTATTTTTGGTAAAAGTTTTTCCATAGTAAAGCTTTATACCTCAAAGTCCACGTGAGCTGTCAGTGGTGAAATCTCAAGAACATTTCCATTTGCATCAGAGGCATGTGCTTTCCAAACGAAGGGAGCATACAGGTAGCTGAATGCCAAATTATGGTCGTCAGGCTCAAGCAAACAATGACCTAGATATCCATAATTCAACTTTGTGTACACTTAATTCGTCCGTGGTTATGTTACGAGCTATGTGCACCCGATGAAAGCAGGAAAGATTTCTTTTGTCTGCTTAAAACAGGCTTTCAGCACGTGCCACCTACTTAGGGGTGAACAAATCAATGCAACAGAACCTGGAGACTGGTGACATATGGTATGGAATGATAGCAAAAAAGAGGAAACACTTAAGCAGGAGTGTTGATACTACGGCTGAAATGCGCACGCAACTTTCAAATCAAGACAGTCGTGACATTATTGAATTTACATTTCCAGTGTGAACAAAACAGGCGAAGCGGTCGCAGCGGCAAGTAAAATGTTTATATTGATTTCGGTCAGGTGTGTTTTGTGCCGACCTTCTGACATCGAATCACATGACGTTTGAAATTGAAGGATGCCGTAAATTTACACCCGCACGCTGGACAAGAATATGTTTTTTCCCTAGTATGGACACGGAAGTGACTATTCAGTGCAGCTGACGAACGTAGTCGCTTTCCACAATGGGGACACGAGTTAATTTTTTTCTCCAAAATTCTTGAGTGCTCAGCGATTCCTAAATGTTTTTCGGCTACCAACTCCTCCCAATGCTGCTCCAACAAACGATGATTCCGAGTTTTGAAATATCCAAAATGAGATGCACGGAAGTCACATTCATTAGGTTTCAGGTTCAAGGGCGTTGCATGGTGTTCTTGAACCCAGCTAGGATACCAAAACTCCTTTGAGGATTTTGGACATTGATGGGGTGTTTGCTGAACATCCAAGTTCTTGCTTAAGCCCATCTGTATATACTTCTCACTGTCCGATGCGTTTTTGGATGTCGGAGAGTGAACGCAAAGCTTCTCGTCCTCCGAGGTTTTGTATTCGTTGGAATCTAAAGCAAATTGAAAATTTTAGCCAATGTGGATGCACACATACATTTCAGTATTGATGCTGAAATTTCAGACAGCCCATACAGGTACATATGAATGCTAACTCTCAACTTGAATCAGATTAGATTACCAGGTTTGATCTCTGATTGAAACAAACTGTTTTAAGGTTCTACTCCGCGAAAGTGGGATGCAATGCACCGTGGTCCGTAAACAGTTGCTCATTCCAACCAACTGACAAACTTTTGGCCTACCAGCCGCTACCGAGCAAACATTCGGTGTTCCAACTAAGTGCTTATATTGGTATTTAAGTTACTCTTTTGAAATCGCAGGTTTTGTTCATTAACTCCAATATTCCACATTAAATAATGGCGGAATCCAGAACTTTTTGGCTACATGACTGTATAACTTCCTGTGCTCACTAAGTCATTTTGGGTAGAAGTCAATCCAGATTCTCAGCTATCCTTTTGTCACCAAAAGTTTCATTTGTCCATAAAAAATTATACGATCCAACGTAGAGAATCCGTGCACGAGAGTTCCGGCTTGTCTGTGGGAGGTGCACTTCAGTGACACAGCCAACTCTGACTGACGCTCTCTCTGACGTTGACTTCACACTCCGAATGGCAGACAGTGAGCGCGGAGCGGCCGCGAAGGCCATGTTCTGTACTGCAAGACTACGATGGGTACGAAGTACCAATTGACACATCAATAGCTGACTACCTGCTCCGGTCGTCAGATTGTGGATGTCGTCTGATCTATTACCAACAGAAGTATATATCGATTTCGTATGAGGTTGCATTTTGCTCACAACGGACACTCCCTCAAAACATAGGTTGGTGTAAACGAGGAGCACAATCAAAATTATTACACCACACTGATCATATAGTTAATGGAATCTGGAAATTTCTATTCATGGTCCTGCCAAATAACGTCGAAGGGTGAATGGTATCGGCACTTCAAGAATACAGACGCGCTGTTGGTGAGCCTTCTGAGTTCTTTCATCATGCATGTGAATAGGGAATTCGGTACTGTTAAATCAGTTTATCCAATTAGCACATTTTGAGATTTGTTTCAGTCAGATATCATCGGATTTCGAGTGAGGTGAGCAAATTCTACGTAAGTGTACCTAAAAGCTTGCCCAAGGTCTAAATTAGTCGGCGCTCAAGCATATCCGTTGGGAGAAAGAGGAAAATTTCATGTCTGGAGGCTTCCCGCTGGAATTACGTTTTTTCAGAGAATAACTCAAGAAGATGGACTTAGTAATATGGTTCGCTATCCGCGGCGTATTCAGGAATTAGGGAATGCTCCCGCTTAGTCTACTGTGCTCAATGTGTAGATGCGCATCGCTTGGGAATATACTTCCACAGCCCGATTCGCTTTATACTTTTGCGGCCGATTTTGCTCTCTCAAATAATTAAATCATGGAAAGAAGTAGTACTGAACCTATTCGGTTGAAGTTCAACAAATATACACATGCGCATGCATCTTAACTTATTGTGGGTCCAGCTGAGCTTCAATGATTTCGTTCAGTGGTCTGAAGGCTGCATTTTCGTGGCTTTTAGCAATCTCGATAAAACTCTTACTTGTCACGAATGTATTTCTTCATTCTAAAGCAGCAGTAGTTGTATGACACGTGCGCTCAAGCAAACAAAGATTTGAAAGGGCTATATTCAAAGTAGGAGCAAAGGATCCGTGTTTGCAATTATTCCAGTGAAACGTTTAACACAAAATGGTCGATATATGGGATAGGATTTAAGATATTGTTCCACGCACAAAAGTAACTTTTTCACAAATATAATTATTGTCCAGTGCAGCTTACGTCAGATTGTCCTTTAGGTCATAATACAAGGACGTACATGTATAAAAAATGACGAATCCCCATCGTGAAACCAAATACCAATACTTGCAGTCACAGATCAAAACTGCTACCATTCTTTCGTGAGAGTGCGATGTACTAATCAGAATTACACCACTTGTGAACGCTACCCAGCATTCTTTGCCTGATTCTGGTTCACTTTAGTCACCCACCCAACAAACTGTGTCGAAACAACAAAATTTGAAGCTATGAAAACTGGTTCATTTGTATCACTTGCCTCACAACCAACAAATTTTGAAGATATGAAATTTTCTCAATGGCAGTGGTGATATAATAAATCCTGGACTTGGTGCCTAACTACCGGGATATTGCTAATCTACCCATTGGAACGCAGCTCATTTATTCATATTGACAAATGTAAAATTCGTTTTCAACGTCGACTTGCGGGTTATTACCGGAACTATCATAGCAGGTTCGAGTAGATTCACGTCAGAGAACCGGTGAGTATAAATCTGCGGTGAGGATTTATCCGTATTTGCGATCCCTACATCCAACCGTAAGCAAAATGGGAACGGCTAATTCGTATACCTGGAAACTAATGGCGAACCGATGGTGAAAATAGGCGTGGTTTAAAAGACTACGATGTCTACAGAAATCAACTAACTCCTGGTCCGAAGAACATCAATTTAGCAAAACTACTAGCTCAATGGTGTCCACCGAAATTTGTTTGAGTCGCGAACTTTCCAGAGACAAACAATGTGATTTATTACGTTGACCTAAATTGCATTACAACACAAAAGTGGGATTAACAGTGACCCGCGAACAAACCAGTTTATCCGTGGAATGAGTATGAATGAATATGCATTTATTGTGGTAGCGAGTCAACTTGTGCAACAAATTATGCTTCAGAAGCACGGATATCATGGATTTTGGTTGTAATATGGGAAGAATTACTTCGTATTTTCGAATCGCCTGTCGTATACGAAGGAACGGAATTCGTGTTAATTGTTTATCTTGTGTCTAATGGTATTTTAGTCGAATAACCAAAGGTTTTTAGCACAGAATTATGACAACGTGGTTGATCACGTGACGTTTCTAATTTCTTGATGACTATGAGGTATTAATTGTATCCATCCGGAAAAGCCCTGAAGTATCACGCCCTTTGGGATACGAAGCGCTTCTAAAGGCCGCCCAACCTATAGTATGTAAATCAAGTCGTTTTATGCTGGGACACCCTTCGTTCGTCAGCATCGAAAAAGCTGGTTTTACGCACTTTTCAATAAGTCATGTTGGAGTTCCGCTTCCAAATCACAGTAAGAGACTTCTATTTCCAATTCGTGTTCCTCCATGGCATCGTCGTCAGGCCTAGAACTAATCAGACATGCTTGTCACCGGATATAAAGTCTGGAAACTACCAGGTGTCTTGCGTAAACAACTAAGCAGTTTCACATCAGTTGAATTGCCCGGGAAGCCAAGATTCCGTTATTTCCCACGTTTACCGATTTCGTCCGTTCATGACCAATTTGACAATCTGTCTAGCTTAGAAATTTTCTGGGGTGTATCATCAATTAATCGTTTTCACCCAGTCTACAAAAACCAAACCCATTTATTCAATTACCTCTACAAATATGGCGCGGCTACTTGATTGTTTTCGTCCTTTCAACAATCAAATGGCTTAAGTTTTCGGGAGTGGACTTATCGCGCACAAAAATCGGTCCTTCAAGTCGCACAAACACCGCAAACGGAAATCGAACAGATGCAGACGAAGTTGAAAATAAAATATGTAGATCATATAAATGTGGGGAGATTAAGTGATATTCAGTAAAGATTTCAGCGTGGTAGAAGCGATTTTGGCGAATGAGGACATGGGATAACAGGACAACCAACGTAACCGCTCTACCGAACAACTACTCGTGGTCAAAGTTCACCCCGGGCTACCAACACGTATACTAACACAAATATAACGTTGCCCAACGCAAAACTACTAACCCACCGCTACGCACCACTACGCACCACTACGCACCTTAATAACGCACTGATGATGTTACCTCCATTGGTGATGAAACGTTTGCAATCAAATTGAACAGCTCAGCGAACAAGCCAACGACCATTCATCCTATCAGTTTAGCCAAGCTATGCTGATGTGCCTAGAACCAGTGTATCGCTGTTTATTCCTGGTTGAGATTAATTAGCATTTCGTATCTCACGAAACTACTAGAGTTTCCAAACGGGAGCAGTGGTTGATCAAAATGGTTGATTGTCGGTGTGACTAGTACTCACCATTAGGGGACACAACGTCAGTCAGTCATTAATAACGGAAAACTAAATCACGCGGTCGCGTCTTGACTGGCTCCACGAGGGACAACTCGAGTGACAACTTCTCACAAGGAAGTTTCACATACTTTGAAGACTGTGACAGTGGGTCTATCTGCAGTAACTTCACCAATTGCTTAACTTAAGTTCGAAAACTGTGTATTCCTGTGGTTTCATCAGCCCCACTTTAGGACTTCATAATCGGCTGTGATAAAATTCACATGCTGCCTACCTTGAATACTCAGTCTACAAAACACAAACCCGTTTATGCAGTCAAGGTTTCCCTGCACTTTCAGGCAAACTCACTGAGAATTCCCGCAAAACACCTACCACCGAAATCAGTCATCTCCAGAAAATCTCTTCTTTTTGGCTTTGTGGATTTTCCACATGCGCAAAACACTGGAGAATTTGTTTAGATTGTGATATTCGAATGAAATTAGCATGAATGCTGGTCGTGTAATTGAGTGGGTCAAAATAGTCAAGGTACGGTCGTTTTCTTGTGCCTTCGCTTGTCTGAAGCCAATTTGCATTCATCTTGAACAGGTGCCACTGGATTGTTTTTGTTCAAAGTTATTGAGGTAAGTTACTGTAACGTGAGAATTATTGAATTGTGGTACAATTGCGGCTATGAGGTGCCCACCACGAGTGCATTTTGAAATACACCACAGTCCATTCCAACGCACCATCTGTTCTTTGGGTTATGGCAGTATACGTTATACAGTCTTCGTTTATTAGGATGCCAGATTGTAGTAAGAATTTTGCTTACCCACAAAAATTTTACCAAACGTCTACGGTTTAGCAACCGCAGAACTTGGTGCGCGCAACCGAAATTTTCTACTGGGGAAAGGGGAAGCATTTGGTGACGTTCTGTTACAA